GGTTGATAGCCCCTGGCCTCACAACCCTGGACTCCTGAACCCCACACCCAAAACGACTTTAGTTTCTCACCGCTGCGCGAAAACAGGGTTGTTAAGCGTGCATGAAGGGAGGCTTCTGCACACCGTAGTTGATCAAAAGTCTTGTTCCCAAAATGGCCACTGTGGAAAATGAATGAGCCTCCTAAACCCGTAGGATTCCTAAATCATTTCCCTCAAAGGACTTTTTCATCAAAACTCACATAGATTTCAACAAATTCCCCTGTTTTGGTCCTTCTAGTCAACTAGCAGGATTCCCATAACTTTTTTTCCTCAAAGGACCCTGTTAGATCAACACCCAACACCCTAAACCCTAAACCCGAAACCCTAAACCCTAAACCCATTTCTGGACGCTTCGTCTCGACGTCTCATCCTCGAGACTTTCATAATGCTGCTTGCACTCGTCAACTAGCAAGGCATACTTACGGAGAAACACCAGGGTCGTGTATCATATTCGGGTACATAGGGGTATATAGGGTTTAGGCTTTCGATTTTGTAGCTGAAGGTATGGGGTGAGCTATCTTTGCCAATTATTTGTTAGACACTACGACACCTCACCTGGTCATAATCTTGGGCCTTTTCGGACCTAGCTATTCATGTGCAGTCAATAATTCCCATATAACTCATGGACATGGCCTCCTGCTAGGGAGTATATTAGGGAACCACAAGAACCCCTATTTCCACTCTTCATGGTGCCTTGGTAAGCCACGTATCAACAGCAGCTCATGTCTTTAGGAGTTTTCGCGTCACACAAAGTACGCGGCAATGATAACCTTGTGACACATTTTGCGTGTAGATCTATGAAAACGACCGTTTAGGCTCTGGCAGCTTACCCAAGCCGATGCCCTAAGCTGCTCAAACTCCGATACCCTAAGCCTTATAAGCCCTAAACACTAAACGCTAAACTAAACCCTAGCACGGTTGGTGCAGTGTAGAGCTTAGGAACCCGCGGCGTCACAACACGCTGAAGCCGCAATCTCTCCCAGAAGTGTCCCAAATTGTCTCTATAACCCCACCCTACACCCTAAACCCTGAACTCCCAGAGCCTAATTAAAAACCACCCTAAACCCTGAACCCCTCCTAAGGCCTACACCCCAAACCCCAACCGCCGTGCTGAGGTCGGATCTCAGCGGCTCTTCACGCCCCACACTGCACCCTGCAAAGCTGCCAGGACATTTTCAACTCAAGTCTAGCCTTTGCCCCGCTACTGTTAAAGAACTTAAACTAGGGTACTCTTCAACCCTATTATTACTATTACTATTAATATTGCATTCCCATATTATGGTAGCTTAACTTAAGGTTCTTAAAAGCAACCCAGCGTGTGGGGAGATTCTCGGGCGAGTACGGAGGTCACTTCTCAGGATTGCATCGCGAGTGATTCCACTGCAATTCCAGAAACTCCTGCCAAGGGGTTGAGAGTCTGTGGTTTGGGATTCTTGGTCTGGGGTTCCAGATTGAGGGTTCATAGGCTTTCGGGCCGACAGATTTTGGATATGGGACTTAATCTAAGTTGTATTATCCTCCTATAGTGGAGAATCAAATGGAAAAGAAAATGGAAAATGAAATGGAAACTGGGGGTATAGGGATTCAAGGAACTGAATTGAAGCTACTACAATGGGGAGTCGAATTGTTGTCTGCCCCCAGCAAATCGTACAGTGTCCTCACGGCAATGCTGCGATGAGTACCATAAACATGTCCCTAAACCTCCCAACTTTGACTTTTAAACCGAAACCATTGAGCCTGAAATCGAAACCCTGAACCCTCAGCTATAAAATCGAAACCCTAAACCCTATCCCTAAACCCTATATACCCCTATATAACCCCATACCTTGTAAGTTACCCCTAAAACCGTCAACCTTGGTCTTTCTGAGCAAGCGCCTGCTGCAGGAGTTCCACGGCTACTCATGCGCATTGGTGGCGCGAACGATGGTAAGATTTGGGGCCCAGGATTCAGGTTTTAAGTTTCTGGTTTAATTTTGGGGTTCCGGTTTGAAGTTTACAGGCTTCAGCTTTTGAATTCGGGATTCAGGATCTGGTGTTTCAGGTCTGGCGTCTATGGCTTTTTCAAGGAATAGAGAAGACATGAAAACTACTAACTAGCGAGATTGTCGGGGATTCTGTTCTAGGGAGCTACTTAGGGCTTGGGGCTTGGGGCTTAGGATTGAGGGCGGCAGGTCTAGGGCTACAGGAGTGTGGATTTCGGAGGCTTAGGGTTTGGGGTTTAGGCCCGAAACTCGAAACCCTAAACCGAGTGCAGGCTTGAAGGTCTGGAGGGTTCCGGCTTGGGGTTTGGAGTTTGGAGCTCGGGTTTTGAATCTTGCTTAACGGGGCTCAAGGCTAAGGGGTTTGCAGTGTAGAGCTGGCTCTAGTTTCCATGGAGATGTAAGATGTTCAATAAGGACTCACAGGCATCTGTGCCACGTCTCGGAGCCAAAACCCCAGCAGAAGACGGGTCGAGATGGAAATCGGAGAGGCCGAAACTATCAGTATAGGTTTCCACTTGGGTACGTAGATCCTCAATTTGTATTCTGGCCCTACATTGGTAAGGCTCATGTGCTACAGAACCCCTTCGGGCTCAGCGGGAGTAAATTGGGATGCTCATAGGGAATGAGAGACACTACCACAGAGCTTCAGGTTTAGGGTGCCTAGGGTGGAAGTGGGGGAGTGAATACGGGGACCATGATAGGGTTTAGGGCTTGGAGTTTAGGGTCTAGAGCTTAGGGTTTAGGGTTTAATTAGGATTTAGGTTTCAGGGACGTTAAGGAGCAGGAAGTAGACCCAAAGCCTTCAACAATCAGGGAAGGCTGGTGGCCTAGTCACCCCAAAACCATGAGCTACTTGAATACATTGTGGCAATTAATCGGTCCATTTGAAGGGGTTCTGGTGGATATATGGGGATGTATGAAGATATAGGGTTTAGGCATAGGGTTTGGGGGCCCGAAGGATTACCCACAATGGAGAATCGACTGGAAAGAACAGTGGAAAGTGGAAATCAGATTATGTACCGGAGGGCTCTGAATATCATTGCAGGGTATGTAAGGTCTACATGAGGTCCCCAATACCATAATTTTACCGGGAGTCTAAGACCATAATAGTGGTACGTGATAATTGGGCTTTTACATCGCAGCGCACTCCCCCGTTTAGAACTGTCAGGAAGTTGCACGCCTTAGGGTTTGGAGCGGTTAAGGGCTTAGGATTCAAGGTTTAGGCCTGAGAATCTGGGCGTCAGGGCTTTCGCGCTTGGAGTTTGAGAGTCTGGAAATTAAGGCTTAGGGATGCTGCGAGGGCAACTACGTTAAGTGTTGCTGTTTTTTGTCCATCCCGTCCAAACGGGCTTTGATGCACAGAGACTGTCATCTGCCACACTCTAGAAGAGCCATGGTCTAAACTCCTAGTATCTCCCTTAATAACCCCCATTATAGTCCCCTGTGTAACACCCCTTTAAGGAGTTTGGACTATGGCTCAGATGACCCCAGCAGCTAAAGCTCAAGCTGGGTTGACCTTGAAGTGCAGCCATCGTCAAGTTTGACAAGTCGTGGGATTTGACGATCATCAAAGAGCGTGCGGCGCACAATCTCTGTCATGGCATCTGATGGCCATCTTCTTTGCAGAAGGCTGCTTTGGCATTCTGGAAACTGACTTTGCATGATCGGAACTGCAAACAAAGTCTCGGAAACGACAAAAAACACTTTGGGCCTCTCACTTGCTCCTTAAGCAAAGGGCCCGTGACCTGGCAAGGTGCACAGGCTTCCAAGGGGTCAGGGAGGAAGTGCTACCTCAGAAGGAGCTTAGTAAAGAGAGGCGGGATAAGCTCGAAGGCTCATAGAAACGAAGTGACGAACAGTCGGGGATGACAATCTTGACAATACTTACCATCATGACAGTAAGCTTGCAAGTTCAAATGAACACTACCCGAAACCCTAAACCCTAAGCAGATGCCATGCTGAGTTGCCCTTACCCCATCTCAGAAATTAGAGGCGCTCGCTGCACATTTCGTATCTTCATGGGCCGCAGAGGGTAGACCACTGTTGCAACAGCACAAAATTCAAGTTTTTAGCGTTCAGGATACTCATACATGGGTATGTATGTATGTATGTATGTATGTATGTAGGGGTTATAGTGGGATAATGGAAAATATGGCAACTATTATTTAGGGTTCAGGAGACTAATAAGGAAACGGGTCATCACGGCACCGTAGAGAGGAGCAGCGCCAGAAGGCGAAGGTAGCGCTCCTTGCTGTTGAGGCTCCGAAGCCGCTTAATCCAAAGAGAGCCACTCACTGGAGGCAAGTACGGAATAGAGGAGTGCCAAAACCACATGGAAACTAGTATGTGTGTATACGACTTAGGGCTTTGGATTTAGAGTTCTGCCGGCTATTTGTATAGTGTGAAATGAAATGGTTATCTTGTGGGGCATGCTGCGGTGTGCTGGGGGGGGCTGTACAGGGATCACTTTAGGGATCCGTTCTTCAATTCCTTGCTGATGATACCAAGAGCGCTGCATGACCCAGGTCATGGAACAGCTTTCGTGTCAGAAAATATAAATCTGATTTTACACTGAGGGGATATCACCATCTCAGTTTTCCATGCTGCACACATCAGCCGGCTGCCCGCCTGTGACTATTGCCAGGCTTGCCTCTGGGAACCGGACCTCGCAAGCTGTCAACAACCCCAAACCCTAAGATACCCTAAACCCAAAAACCCTGAACCCTGAACCCCAAACCCTACAGCCCGAAAACCCTGAACCCTAAGTCGATTCCCAACCGGCCTGATCCCAAAACAGGGACTCCCGAAAGCTGAGCCCAGGGTTTGGGTTTTAGGGTTTTGGGTTTGGGGTTGATGTTGCTACATTGGCAAAGTCAGGGGATTCTTAGCGGGCTGCGTTTTTTCGGATCCTTTAGGGGATATGGGTGGGCGTGAAACTAACACGAGGTCCCAGCCAGCGATGGACTGGCTCCATGTGTCTCAGACCTTCCAAACAGCACGATGATACGTGCGGCAGCTGCGGAACATGCATGAACTTGACCTTTTGCTTGTCCCACAACGAAAAAAACCGTGCCTCCAGCTCCAGCGCCCACACATCGCCTCGAGCCGCAACAAACAAGAACAGACTAGGCATACAGGCAAGCGGCCACAATCACAAAGCTCCTCCAGAACTGAAAAGCTGTCAGCTGTCCTGGGGCTAGCACTCGAGAATTCGCGTCCGCCTTGACTGACGGTGAGGAGCCGACAACGCAGAGCTGCTTTCAACACCCCACCAATCAGCAAGCTGAGGGGTCGGACTATTCATCCCGCCAAAAATCAGCATGGAGTGGCTCTCGGGATCGTAGACGGCTGAGTGCCCCTGTCTCTCGCTTGGAGACTTTCCTGTGGGCTGGAGTTGCTTCCACTCCATGACCTCCCAGCAAAACTTCAACACTCACTGCATGGCATCAAACAGATCTTTGATATCTAGATTAGAAGAATGCAAAGAGATGGCAAGAGCCCCCTCTGTCAACGAATCGGGCAATATCATACCTTTGCTGGTTATCACGATGATGCAACGGTACATAACTTGACACTTAGTTTAAAAGAACGCTCAGCCTACTGGCGAGCCCCTTTCAGCTGCTGCCTTCAGGTCCAGCGCCCACACATCACCTCGAGCCGCAACAAACAACAACAGACTCACTCAGGCAAGCGGCCACAATCACAAAGCTCCTCCAGAACTGAAAAGCTGTCAGCTCTCCTGAGGCCAGCACTAAAGTATTCTGGGCCTTGGCTGATGGTGAGGAGCCGACAACGCAGAGCTGCTTTCAACACCCCACCAATCAGCAAGCTGAGGGGTCGGACCGTAATCATTGAAACCGCCAAATATCAGCATGGAGTGGCTCTCGGGCTCATAGATGGCTGAAGGTGTATGTCTCGCGCTTGGAGACGTTCCTGTGGGCTGGAGTTGCTTCCACGCCATGACCTCCCGGCAAAACTTCAACTCGCTGCATGGCATCAAAAAAGAATTACATTACAGATCTCTCACATCTGGATTGGAAGAACGGAAAGAGATGGCGAGAGCCCCCTCTGCCCACCAATTGGGCTATACCATACCTCTGCTGCTCTTGACATCTGAAAATCGTGGCACCACACCCGTCTTATAACGATGATGCAAAGTTGCAAAAGTACATACAGCGACACTTCAATCGACAGGCTGGGAGGCGTGCAGCCTACTGACAAACAACGTCTGCTGCCCTCTTTCTCTTGCTGCCTTCAGGTCCAGCGCCCACACATCGCCTCGAGCCGCACCAAACAAGAATAAGGGCGCACAGCCAAGCGGCCACAACACAAAGCTCCTCCAGAACTGCAAAGCTGTCAGCTCTCCTGAGGCAAGCACTCCAGGACCGGTCTTCGCCTTCGCCTTGACTGACGGTGAGGGGCCGACAACGCAGAGCTGCTGTCAACACCGCAACAATCAGCAATCTGAGGGGTCGGACCCTTCTCACCGCCAAATATCAGCATGGACTGGCTCTCGGGATCGTAGACGGCTGAATGAAATACTCTTGCGCTTGGAGACGTTCCTGTGGGCTGGAGTTGCTTCCACGCCATGACCTCCCGGCAAAACTTCAACTCGCTGCATGGCATCAAAAAAGAATTACAGAGTACAGATCTCTCACATCTGGATTGGAAGAACGGAAAGAGATGGCGAGAGCCCCCTCTGCCCACCAATTGGGCTATACCATACCTCTGCTGCTCTTGACATCTGAAAATCGTGGCACCACACCCGTCTTATAACGATGATGCAAAGTTGCAAAAGTACATACAGCGACACTTCAATCGACAGGCTGGGAGGCGTGCAGCCTACTGACAAACAACGTCTGCTGCCCTCTTTCTCTTGCTGCCTTCAGGTCCAGCGCCCACACATCGCCTCGAGCCGCAACAAACAAGAATAAGGGCGCACAGCCAAGCGGCCACAACACAAAGCGCCTCCAGAACTGCAAAGCTGTCAGCTCTCCTCAGGCCAGCACTGAAGACACTGCCTATGCCTTGGCTGACGGTGAGGAGCCGACAACGCAGACCTGCTGTCAACACCGCAACAATCAGCAATCTGAGGGGTCGGACCCTCGTCACCGCCAAATATCAGCATGGACTGGCTCTCGGGATCGTAGACGGCTGAGTGCCCGTGTCTCTCGCTTGGAGACCTTCCTGTGGGCTGGAGTTTCTTCCACGCCATGACCTCCCCGCAAAACTTCAACTCACTGCATCCAAAAAATCCAAAATTCCAGCATACAGATCTCTCATATATCTGGATTGGAAGCATGGAAAGAGATGGCAAGAGCTCCTTCTACCCACTGGCATGATCATACCTTCGCACAGGTACGTAACTTGACACTTAGTTTGAAAGAACGCAGCCTACTGGCTACCTACGTCTGCTGCCCTCTTTCTCTTGCTGCCTTCAGGTCCAGCGCCCACACATCGCCTCGAGCCGCACCAAACAAGAATAAGGGCGCACAGCCAAGCGGCCACAACACAAAGCTCCTCCAGAACTGCAAAGCTGTCAGCTCTCCTGAGGCCAGCACTGAATTTGCCTCGGCCTTGGCTGACGCTGAGGAGCCGACAACGCAGACCTGCTGTCAACACCGCAACAATCAGCAATCTGAGGGGTCGGACCCTTGTCACCGCCAAATATCAGCATAGAGTGGCTCTCGGGATTGTAGATCGCTGAGTGTTGACATCTTGTGCTTGGAGACGTTCCTGTGGGCTGGAGTTGCTTCCACGCCACGACCTCCCGGCCAAACTTCAACTCACTGCATGGCACCAAAAAATCCAAAATTCCAGCATACAGATCTCTCATATATCTGGATTGGAAGAATGGAAAGAGATGGCAAGAGCTCCCTCTGCCCACGGGCAAGATCTTACCTTTGCTGGTTCTCACGAGGATGCACAGGTACGTAACTTGACACATATATCGACAAGAAAACATGCAGCCTACTGACTACCAACGTCTGCTGCCCTCTTTCCGTTGCTGCCTTCAGGTCCAGCGCCCACACATCGCCTCGAGCCGCAACAAACAAGAATAAGGGCGCACAGCCAAGCGGCCACAACACAAAGCTCCTCCAGAACTGCAAAGCTGTCAGCTCTCCTGAGGCTAGCACTGAATAATACGCCTCGGCCTTGGCTGACGGTGAGGAGCCGACAACGCAGACCTGCTGTCAACACCGCAACAATCAGCAATCTGAGGGGTCGGACCGTTGAAACCGCCAAAGATCAGCATGGAGTGGCTCTCGGGATTGTAGACGGCTGAGTGCCCTTGTCTCTCGCTTGGAGAGTTTGCTGTGGGCTGGAGTTGCTTCCACTCCATGACCTCTCGGCAAGACTCCAAGTTACTGCGGCCCGCAGGTTGAAAAGAGAAATTCAACATCGCTGTTTCACATAACGTTCAAGGTTGAACGCTGTTTTCTTCAAAAGTGCCCTTCCTAACTGGCACGCACGTCTGGAGGGCATTCTGCCTCAGCAGCTGAAAGACGCGGGTCGAAGAGGAGCTTTGTGGTCTTGGTCCTGATCTCGTTCTCGTCCGTGTCCCAGACACACGTGCCGCGCATGCGCTGCTCCTGTCAAAACGTGGAGCTTTGCTGGTTTCGGGATTCGTGCTGACTGCGGCATGGAAATAACCACACGTAAACTGAGCACTTCCACAAAAGCTCTCTCTGGACAAAACGCACAGAATGCTGCTAGTATGCGTGTTGGACTGATACTGCAAAACAGCTTCTACATCATGCCCCGTCGGCATGGACACAACTGCAAGCAACTCAGCCATTCCCACAGATGCACCCTCCAGACAAATCGACGCCGGTCACAACCCAGGTCCGACCACTGCGGAAAAACAAATGCGACGGAGACTGCCGGCAGAAAGTCGTCTGGATGACAACAAGTTTCGAGAAGCTTCACATCTCACCGCCAAGTCTCCTCGGCAGCAGGCTCCGAGGCTGCAGCGGGCGGGACAACCGCAGCAGACGAGACAGCCTTTTCATCTCAAGGCTGAATATTGTACCTCAAATAATGATGTCGGCGGTACTAGAGTCACACAAGCATGATGCAACGGCCCTACCCCTGCCCATGTAAGTAAATAAGTAAAAGAACACGTCGTAACCCATGCCAGAAACGGACACTTGCACCAAAGCAAGTTGACTTCAAGATGGGGTTCCTCGATACGCAAGGTAAGTAAAACGCAGACGAGAATGCCCTTGCTCCTTCCTATGTCCAGTTTGCGTTGCCTTCTAAGTTCACCTCCCGGGCAACAGAGAAGGAGAGAATGCATTCATCATCACATCACTGCTGCTATGAAAGCCGGGACGCGTCAGGGATGCGGGGGACTTTCCTTGGCCGCCACGGCGTCAGACAGCACAAGCCAGGCATGCGGACGCGAGCAAACCAACCACCCGCTCGACGCCAGGGCGATGTAACTCGTGGCGCAGGTTGGGTTACAACTTCCGTGGCCGCGCGCTTGCGGATTTCAGCAGAGGCCAGGTGCTTCTGGAACCGCTTGTCCAGCCGCAGGGTGGTCACGAACTGAAGCCAGCTGCCTGGCAGATATTCGTTCACGACTACGGCCAGAAGCTGCGCCCGGGTGAGGCCAACATACAGCCTGGCCCGCGTGTCTTGGTCGGTGGCTCCAAGGACCTCATCCAGGCCCACGCACACCACAACAAGGTGCTCAAGCCCGGTGGAGTTGTCGATAGTATCCAGGATGACAAACTCTTCTGGCCTTTCCGTGTCAGGCAAGGGCATCAGGTGTGCTGGCAGGAGCTGCCAAAAATCGACAGAAGACGCCAGGCGAATGTTCCTTGGGCTGAACTCCACTGCCAATCGCTTTTGAAGCGGCGCCTCAAGCTTTGTTCGGAAGCTTTCCCCTGGAACCAGCAGCGCCACGCGGCCGTGAAGGCTCAAACCTGTTGGCAGGGTCTCCACCACGTACCACAGGGCTTTCATGATTTGCGAGATGTACTCATCCAGTGGATCTGTGCTCTCACCAGTGTCGAAAATGTATGTCTTTACTGGCGGGCCATCCGTGCCTACCGCAGATACGGAACGCGCTGCCCCTGACAACTGGAAGGTTCGGGCAGCAGCAGTGATCCTTTGGCTGCCTCGTATGACTTCAGCTAGTTGCACGGTGCGCATGTCCGGGAAGAAGTGCTGAAGATTCCTCGACTGAGATAGGTCGGACAGGACTAGGCGCTGCTTCGCGGGGAGCTCCCAAACTGAAGCGTGCTCAGCAGTGACCTTGTGCGCCTCATCAACGACCAGCAGGGAAATCTCAGGCGGCTTCTTCACGGGTTTCAGAGAGATGCGAGGGCCGTCAGCAACTGGGCGCAAGAAGCCTTCATAGGGTGCATGTAGGACTGTCATCTTGCTAAAGATGCTGGACACCGTGGAGGGCGCCACCAGGACTAGCCATCGAAGCACGAAAAAAGCCAGGGCTTGGCTGGGCGCAACGTAGCAAACAGAGGACGTTGGAGATGCTCGCATCATCCGACGCATGTACTGAACCGCAACGAATGTCTTCCCAGCACCGGCTGGGGCTTGCAAATGCAGGTCGGTATTCGCAGACTCCATCTCAGCGAGTTTCCTTGTTGAGATCCAGCCCAAAAAACACAAGACATGAAAGACCCTAACGAACACGGTGCGAGATCATGAAGGTTATTACAACCTCCAAGATGCCCCAAGCAATGTCAGCTGAGCCTCTCCAACTGGTGGGGCGTGAATTCCGTGAAGCTGAGGATCGTGCTCTCGTAGAAGTCGAAAAACTCCCGTTTCTCCACCACTAGCTCTTGGCAGTTAGGATCCATCTTGGCAATTGCGGCGTTAAGGCACGTGTCGAGATCTCCACTGAGCACGATGTCCCTCAGTTGGTGCACCTGCTTGATGGAAGTGATCTCCACCTTCATGCCCACGGAGGCCTTGACAGTGCCATGAAATTCTGAGGGCCTACATATATGGATTCTGGTTGTGGGAACTGACATGGAATATGACTACTGGCATCTCGCACCCCTAATTCCAAACAAATAAACCTCTAAACCCCGTAATACGCCATAAACCCTACCCCAAAAGCCTCTCATGCCTAAACTCCTAAGCGACCAGACCCTCAACTCCACCTAAGTATCCCGAAAGCCGCACTAACTCCCTCTGAATCCACCCTGAATCCCAGCGAGCCGGCCTTGCCATCTCGCAGC